TCCTGTCATGAAACACAGGGGTCAGCGGGTCTCTGCTCCAGCAGACCCAGGGACAGAGAATGGAAAGAGCAAGCTTTAATTCATAAATGTGTTGACACTTGAACGTGAACTTCCCATCCTGTCCAGCCTCCAGGTTACATGGAAACCTGGATTTCTCATCCACGGTAACCGTATACACATTCGTTAAAACAGTATTTATGTTGCTTGCTAAGTTTTAAAAATTTCCTTAAGACAAGATGATCTCGAGTCAGGACACCTTAGGTGCCTGGCCCAGCCTTCATGAGCTTTTCGACAATTAGGACCGTACATCTCTTTCTATAAAGCCTGGCCTTGTATCGAAAGCCAGGGGCTTAAAAAATCCTGTTTTGAAAGTTACAGACTGAAGATGTGACTCTTTTACTAACTGTCTCCCTTTCACTAATCCCAACACCTCCAAAGGCAATGGATACCTGTGGCTGCATCAAGAGCGGGTTGCATACAAGAAAGTCAACAGGTAATGAATGTTATCCTTTCATCCTGACCACCTGAGTGACACCTGAGTGGGAGAACAAGGCATGTCCAGCCCTCTGGTCCTGTCATGTGAGTGTGGCCAGCCAGCTGGGATCTTCAGCCTGCTCCCCCTGTCTTTGATCCTAAACTCCAAGCAAACAGAGGTGGAACAGGCTGTGTACCTTCCCTGCAGCAGCAGACTTCCTGGCTGGCCCCTGCTGATGCTTGTGCACTATGCACACTGTCCCATGGTGCCTGGAGGAGGGGGTTGGGGGGTCGCATTTCACCTGCGTTCAACCCAAGCCCTGTGCTCCTGGGGCCGTCTCCCCTCCCGTATAGGTGATCACTAGCACCTACCCTTGAGCACTCTAGTAACACCAGCTGGCACAGCCAGGGTCCCATTTGTGCCCAGACTGCTTGGATTCCTCTGAGCTCACTGAGCACTCCACTATGCAAATTACAGGACAGCGGCTGAGAATAGTTCCCTTTGCAACAGGAGTGCACAAAACTCAGATGGAAGAGAGTCGGGTGTGGGAAAGGAGTTCCCCAGCCAGGACGCAGACACCCAAGGCTAAACACACATGGCTAATAAGACAAAAATGTCTTAAACCATTAGAGAGACTGTAACATTTTCTTTTTATGTTTGTCAATCTTCATCCTGTTAGCAGCTAAGAAGGCCTTGAACTTAAGGTGATTTGACTGGAATTAGAGGAATGGCCTAAGGAGAAGCTATAACCTTAATTTGCCACATTCCAGCAACCCTATTCATTTCCTTTCACTTTCTGGGAAATAATGAGTCCCTTTCAGCTTCAGCCATGACTCTAACTCTGCCTTTCGGTGTAATTACTATCCATACTATCGAGAACTATCATATTCCTTTATTTTTCTTAAAATAAATCAGACTTGGAACCACTCTTGCAAAATCTAGCCACTTTCATTCTTTAAGAAGTCTCTTCTCCTTCCCATGGCTGTGCAAGTGTCCTGGGGTCTTATAGCAGTCTGTGTTTGCTAGTTTTGGTCATTTCAAATACGTGAGCTGCACCCCTCCTTGCCAAAGACTGTGCTGGGAATCTTCCAGAGCCCACCAGCCACACATGAGCATAGGCATAAGTGAAGCAGGCTGTTCCCCTCTCCCTGTGTTAGGGAGACACTTTTCCCCCTCTTCCTCCCACTCCACTAGGCAAAGGACTAATTCCTGCATGCAATGACCTTATGTGAGGTTTTCAGATTGGGCCCTAGGATTAGGAAATCTTCTTCTCTCTCTTTAAAGCTTGGTTTTCAGGGGCCTCCTGGACTCAGGAATTCTAACTGGGATGTCAAGTGCCGAACAATGACTCTCTCCTCTTGCATTCCTGTTGTTAAAATTCTGATCATTTATGAGACAAGGATGTCCCTGGCCACAGAAGGTACATGTTCCTAGAAAAGAAATACAAATTAGAAATGAACACTGACATTTCAGAAAATCTCACTCCCCTCACATCACATATGACACAGACCTGCGGGTGGCTACAGAGCTCTCTCAGCATCGGATATAGTCTCCCCACAGCCCTGTCGCCCTGCCCTAGGACCTGCTCTAGAAGAAATAACTCAAGCATGGGGATCTTCTGCTGGGGAAGAGGTTGGTGGTTCCTACAGGGAGAAGAGAGGATCTTCCCAGAAGTCAGTGCACAGTCATAGAGCCCAGGAAGAACTTCCCAGAAATGTTTAAATGGACATAGTGGTAAAGGGTTAGGGACTGTACCTAGGGTAATGACCTTGTGGGGGCCAGGGAGAGGGGTGCGGTCTCTCGGTTATTGTCCCATCTCCAGGAACACGACATGGGAATGTGTGACATCGTTGCTCATGAGCCAGGTAAACTGGTTTGGTTAATTGTCCCATTCAATAATTAAACATTCACATACTCTGTATTTTTACAACAAACCACTGCCTTCTCCACTAGAGTGTGAATAGGTCAGGATCTAGAAACTGAAAGTTTAAGGCAACGGTTCACTCATGCTTGCTGGCAAGTCCAGTTTGCCAGGACCAACTGGAGAGTGAACCTGCTAGATGTCTACAAAGTCATTTTGGGCTTGCATATCATGTTTCTGAGATACAAGAGAAAAGGGGGAAGAACACCGGCTTCCGAGATGGATCACCCATGAGCAAGGTTCTCCAAGGCAAGGCCTGGACTCAGCAGTGCATTTTGTCCAGCAATCTGCCCACAGACGACAAATTTCAGAACATCGTGCACAGTGAGGCACTCAACAAGCAGGGAAACTCGGGGCATAAAGCCATGATGATGGAAGCTGGTTTGGTTGAGAGACTCCAAGGTCACCTTAGTCCTTGACTCTCCATCCAACCTTGAGCCCAGAGCACCCATGAGGCAGCGTGTTGGAATGGCTTCAGCTGGGTATCTGTGGTCTCGTGTTCAAAATCCTCTGTCCATCTCGGCCAGGTCCTACAACCCCAGGGGCTCGGCCCTCCCCAGACCTGAAGGGCTTGTTGTCTGTCCTATTATGTCTGGATTGTCTGATATTCTAAAACCATCGCTAATACATCGTAAGACATGATCAAACAAGGGTGATTTGATGATAAGAGCTCTCTTAAATTCCAGGACATCATTGACAATAATAATAGTAGCTTCATGCTAAGGACTATATACTAACCACTATATAACTTATCCTCTATAATCCTTACCATACTCCCTTAGAAATGGGCATTTTCAATCCCCTTTGACAGGTGAGACTATAGACCCCACAAGGTGAAAGTGTCTTGCCAAAGTTACATGACTGTCGAGTGGCAGTATCAACATTTGAACCGAAAACGATGTTGTCTTAAAATCAGTGGCCTGAATTAGTAAATATTTCTCTGTGTACCCGTGTCTTGCCAGCCAAGCATCATGTTCACCACTCACCTGATAGATGAATGGTCTAAATAAATATTATTCGATGAATGAACACGATCTCCCCTGCAGACCTAAGGAACGGAGGCATAATGCTGGAATGACAGATCATTACATTGTCTTGTATTTCTTTGAACTATTAGGGCCAGTCGTCTCTGGGCCATGGAATCCAGCCAACTCTGTAGCTCTTACAAAAGTGGGGATGCCTTGTTGCATTGCAGAAGTACTTTGTGTCAAAACTTCTGTAAGAAGGTTTTTGAATGTTTCTATTACCCACTCAGAACAGAACTACTGAAGCACTAGGGAGCATAAATGAGATGGTCAGATGGAGGAAGCTGATGGCAGTGGGAAGGCTCAGCAGTGGCCCTTCAGGCTGTTTCAGTGTGAGGTGAAAGCCCTATCCACATGCCCCAGGCAGGAGGGAGCAGCAGGGCCTGTCCCTCTGACCCCATGTCAGGGGAGAAAAGATTTGATCTTCTTCCCACAGTTGAGTCATTATTAATCAAGTTGAAAGTACAAATGCATTTCTGCCCCTTACTCTACCCGACCCCCTCAACCCCGGCCAAACAGAAGCCCTGAGTAATGCTGGCTTGCCCTGATGCTAGGAGTCAGTTCAGTCAAATATACTCTCAGTTTCAATTCTGCTGAAAATGCTACCACATTCCCCAAATAGTGACAATGCTTCCGGTTTGTGTACCTTAAATTTTTAATGATATAAATTAATATTTTATATCCTGTATGTTTTCCTCCATTTAAAATATTTTCACAAACTGTCATTTAAATCCTGACATTCAATGTAAATTAAAGTAATAATCATTGAAGTAAAAGGTGAGTAAGACAAATTTCTTTTAAATCTGAAGAAGATTACATTGGATACTGAGGCCCATAATAACCCATAATGCAAAGAGTGGGGAGGAAAGAGCAGTTTCTACTTCCTGCCTTTTTTTCTTTTTATTAAGCCGGATTTCTCTGTAAATAACACGTTTCTGTCAGTTTTGAGAAAGGCGTAAGAGGGGAAAAAGAAACTGCCCGGAGAGTCAGCGCAGGAACATTACAAAATGCCACGCCTTCCCTGGACACCCTCCTGTCAGTCCCGTTCCTTGAAAGCACTTGAGCCTTGCCCAGCACATTCGCTGTTCGGAGATTTCCAGTCCTCTCCAGATTTTTCCATAACCCGGAGGCATCCCATCCTGAAACCACGATAACACTTTCCCCGCGGTGGGCTCTACTTCCTCCAGCTGCCCCATCTCCGCTTGGAATAAACAGGAACCACTTAGACTAGATTATCCTGTTCTCAGCCCGCGGGGAGATTTTAACCAGACTCTAGGACTAGAGGATAGGCAGGGTCACGCTGGAAACCCACTTGGGGCTCCCTGTGAGCCTCTTTTCGTGAACCACCTGCCAACACATAAATTCCTGCCAATTAGTTGATCCGGGTCCCTAGGGAGGGACCGGATTCCCTTCTCAGTCCCGTCCCTGGTCCCCCGGCTCGCCTCCCCCAGGTCCCCCGAGGCAGGATTGCCCAGCTTGTCCCAGCTTCGCGGAGCTCCCGGGCGCAGAGGCCCCGCCCCCAGGCTGACTCAGCCTCTCGCAGCCTGAACAGGCGTTGGGGGCGGGGCTGACCTGGCCGGATCCCGGCTCTAAAAGCTTGTCTTCACCCCACTGCCGGGCCTTCTGGAACTCAGGACACGCATCTGTGATCGAGACTGCGCAGCTGCACTGCCTCGCGCCACTGGCCACAGGTGGTCTTCTCGTGCCGAACCTGAGCAGGGGGCCACCCGCGCGGCTGCCTGCCTTGGCAGTGAGGGTTCGGGGCTCCCAGGAGGCGCTGACCATGGATCTGACCCTTCCGGACAGGGCAGCCTGATTCCCCTGACGCCGCTCTGTCAGGGCCCGCCCCTCCCTGTGCTGAGACGCAAGTTCCCTGGAAGTGGCAGGCGGGTCACAGGGCAGCAGGCCCCCTGCCCATCCCACACCCGCAGCCTTCCTCCACAGCCCCGTGGAAGCACTTGGGAGGATGGAGTGCGTGTTTGTACTCAACCTTAGTGGCCTTACATCTCAGAAGGAAGGAGGATGGCTTTTTAGATGGTTTGGTCTAATCAGAAACTCATTTCTTTTCTTCCTAGGTTTTGAAACATGCATCCTTCTCTCTTCCTGGCTGCGCTTTGCCTGGGAATAGCCTCAGCTGCTCCACAATTCGATCAGAGCTTAGATGCGCGCTGGTCCCAGTGGAAGGTGGCACACGGGAAACTGTATGACGAGGTTGGTAACATCTGAGCTGTCCACTGAGACCCCAGGGAATGTTCTATGCTGGTGGGAGTTCACAGCGGGGAGTAACTTCTGGAGGCCTCTGGTACCCAGGCAGGAAGCAGGGCACCGTGTGTGCACAGGATGGGGACAGATGTCTCGCTGTGTGGTTGCTGGAGAGCAGCTCCTGGAGCATCAGCCCAGCCCCAGTCAAGGTCTCTGCTCCCCTCCCCTCCGTGAGCACATCCACTTGGTGCAGGTGAGCTGGGTTTAAATATAAATAAAGATGATTGTTTTTCTGCAGAATGATGAAGGATGGAGGAGAGCAGTGTGGGAGAAGAATCTGAAAGTGATTGAACAGCACAACCAGGAGTACAGCCAAGGGAGACACAGCTTGACGATGGCAATGAATGCCTTTGGTGACCTGGTGAGTGTGGCCTGGGTTGCTGAACGTTTCATGCGTCCCCTCCTCGGTGCTTTGCCAAAAAATCTGCTGCTTGTCAACATTCTACTTCTTTTTTCTTGAAGACCAATGAAGAATTCAAGCAGGTGATGAATGGCCTTAAAAGCCAGAAGCGCAAGGAGGGGAACGTGTTCCAAGCACCTCCCTTTGCTGAGACCCCCTCATCTGTGGACTGGAGAAAGAAAGGCTATGTGACCCCCGTGAAGAATCAGGTGGGACAGTACTCCGCAGGTCACCCTCCGGAGGAAAGGTGAAAGGAATCGGTGTCCTTGCTGTGGTCGGCTGAGAAAAGTGTGCAGCTCATGATGTTTTAAAAGAGTTTCCGGATCAGTGGGCTGCTGTCAAATCTTGATATTTGTTTTGTAGACTGAGAATTTTTTTTTATAATTTTATTTATTTATTTGACAGACAGAGATCACAAGTAGGCAGAGAGGCCGGCAGAGAGAGAGAGGAAGGGAAGCAGGCTCCCTGCTGAGCAGAGAGCCTGATGCAGGGCTCGATCCCAGGACCTTGAGACCATGACCTGAGCCAAAGGCAGAGGCTTAACCCACTGAGCCACCCAGGCGCCCCATAGACTGAGAATTTTTAAAATTTGTTTCAGGGTCTCTGTGGTTCTTGTTGGGCTTTTAGTGCAACTGGAGCCCTTGAAGGACAAATGTTCCGGAAAACCAGCAGACTGGTGTCACTGAGCGAGCAGAACCTGGTGGACTGCTCTCAGGCGGAAGGCAATGAGGGCTGCAACGGTGGCCTGATGGATTATGCCTTCCAGTATGTGAAGGACAACGGAGGCCTGGACTCGGAGGAATCTTACCCGTATTGCGCACAGGTAAGTAGTGCTCCCTACCTGTCATTCCAGCTCTGCTTTTTAGCATTGAACGCATTCAGATAAAACAGGTATCACATTTCATACTCACCGTTTATGTTGTGGACTCTGCAGCAGCAACTGTTAGAACTGTCATTAAACTATATTAGCCGGGAGCGCCTGGGTGGCTCAGTCGTTAAGTGTCTGCCTTTGGCTCGGGTCACGATCCCAGGGTCCTGGGCTCGGCAGGAAGACTGCTTCTCCCTCTCCCACTGCCCCTGCTTGTGTTCCCTCTCTCGCTGCCTCTCTCTCTGTCAAATAAATAAATAAAATCCTAAAACAACAACAACAAAAAAACCCTATATTCTCTACCTTGATAGTGACCATGCAACTCTTCCTATTTCTGTGTTATGGGGCCATTTGATACCATTCTATATATAGTACAGATTTCTCCAGAATGAAAAGCTTCTTATGGACAGGTAGACTGAGAGTGTCTCATGAAGTTCCCACCAGCTAATGTTTTGATTTCAAACCAGCCGATAGTGTTTCGGCTCCTAGGACGCTTTCTAACAAACGTGGCTTGGGAAACATTGAGCTACAAACTGTCTTGAACGCGTGCTCCCCAGGAGGTGGAGGGTAGTGATCAAGTCTCTTCCCCTGTCCCTTTGAAAGGATGAATCCTGCAAATACAAGCCTGAGCAATCCGCCGCTAATGACACCGGCTTCACGGACATCCATCCGGAGGAGGAGTCCCTGAAGCTGGCGGTGGCCACTGTGGGGCCCATCTCTGCTGCGATCGATGCAAGCCTGGGTACCTTCCAGTTCTATCATAAGGGTAAGCATCTGTTTATATAGACATTTAGGCAGAAAAATGGGAAAACCACCATTATATACAATAACATTGACTCTGGTCTGTAGAAGTCAGTGTGGAATTTTGGAGGGTGAGGATTTAACAGAGCTGTGTTTTGCTGCACATGTAATTTTTGCGCCCATTGTTTCCATCTGCCATGACTTGACCCATATCCCCGTGGCTTCAAGTACATCATAAATGTGTTTAAATGGCTATATAATTCAACTGGTATACCTTAATTTACTTTCCTTTTTTTCTAACTGTTAGACCTTGAAACATTCCAAAGAATTTTACTACTGTTATTGAAACTGGCAAGAACCCCTCGGCTCAAGTAATTTTGTGCTCTGGGTTGTGTTTCCTTAAGCTGACGTGCTCCAAGTCGAACCACAAGGTGTCAATGAGTGCTCATCTATGTTTCTTGACAAAGTGTTTACGAAAGAGATTGTGCCAATTTGTCTTTCTGCTGGTGTTAGATGAAGGCCTAAATCCCTAGCCTAGCTAAAAGTAAATCAATAAATCAATCTGATTTTTAAATCTTACCTGGGGTTATGTCATTTCACTGAACTTTGAAATGCCTCCTGTTGGTTGTGGTTGATAGGCTCGGCTGCTACCACACGTTCCTGGAGATGGTCACCCCAGCCCTGAATCTCTCTTCTCCAGGCATTTACTACGATCCAGACTGTAGCAGTGAAGACTTGGATCACGGTATTCTGGTGGTGGGCTATGGCTCGGAAGGAGAAGCCTCAGAGAAGCAAAAATACTGGATTGTCAAGAATAGGTATAAAAAGCCAAAAATAGGGGCGGCCAGCTGGCTCAGTAGATAGAGCATGTCTCTCTTGATCTCGAGGCTATGAGTTCAAGTCCCACGTCGGGGATAGTGTTTACTTAATAGAAAAAATTGTTTTAAAAATATAATGTATATACTATACATTTCTGTAAAAGAAAAAGACAAAACTAAGTGATCTATAACGGAATAAGAAATAGACTTTTTAAAAAAAGCCAAAAATACTTATCTTTAAAGTTGAAAAGGGAATCGTTGTTGGAATCAGTGTTTGGAGGCAGGCCCCCCAACCCTTGAGCACACTTCTGAAATCCCAGAAGTGTTAACCCCATGTAGGGGGAAACACAGGCATATTCATGAGACGACCACAGTGAGGTACTGTCTCAAGCTGGGGGGTCCTGTTATAGTTTTGGTACTGTTGCATTTCTAAATTGGAGATTTTTTAAAATTTCTCTTTTTTCATTGTTTAATTTTTTTAAAAGGATTTTATTTGTTTATTTGACAGAGAGATAGAGAGCACAAGTAGGCAGAGAGGCAGGCAGAGGGAGAGGGAGAAGCAGGCTCCCTGCTGCATAAGGAGCCCAATGACAGGCTCGATCCCAGGACCCTGGATCATGACCTGAGCTGAAGGCAGATACTTAACCGACTGAGCCCCCCAGGTGTCCCCTTTATTTTAATTTCTGAAACACATCTGACCCTAAGCATTTTGGGGTCTCTCACTTTGTAGTCTATGTGAAAGGTTCTATGAAAATCTATGAAAGGTTCGGGAGTAGAATTATGAGCTGGGTTAGAACTCGAACAGGAACAGGAACGGCTTCTCGGATTCTTCCTGAATCTGTCCTGGCCCTGTCCTGCCCTGCTCATGAAGGGAAATGTGTTTGTTCCTCTGAAATAATTGGCAAACGCTGTCCTCTTCCAGCTGGGGCACAGACTGGGGCATGCAGGGTTACATACTGATGGCCAAGGACCGGGACAACCACTGTGGAATCGCCACCGCAGCCAGCTTTCCTATTGTGTGAGATGAGAGTGTAAAGAAGACCTCGACTGGGGACCAAATACGCAGAAGAGGAATTTTCTCTTACAAGTGATCACACCTCATTGTGTGGAATGAAACACTCAAGCCACTGGAGATCTAACCTGTGATCTGATTTTGTGATTTCTTTAATTGCTGCTTTGGACAGCTTTGGGTGGTTGACTTGTTTAATAGATTTTGAATTTTATATCTTGTACTGATACGTAAAGTTATACCTTTTAAAATAAAACCATTTCAAAGTAGAAGTGGGGGAAGTTTTTAATATAATTAACTTATAGACTCAGGCTGTTAAATTTAAAAAAACAAATAAATTACAAAGATCTAATTGGTTTAATAAAGGATTCATGAATCAGGCAGCTTCCCGTATATCTAGCAAGTAGGGAAGAACTCCAAGAGCTACCAAAAAAGAAAGGCTTGTACAGGTAGAGAGAGAGCAGAAAAAGGAAAGTATGAGCAAAGAATCTGTTAGCAAAGTTGTTGTCCTTCAGGGACCAGAAAGGGTCCCTCAGTATGTGTCCTGGTGCAAACCAGCATGTTCCCATTATCACCTGGTCATATTGTAGCAGGGAAGAGGTTGAAACTGCAGTTAACTTAGGTGTTAAGTCTTGGTTTATTAACTTGGGACCTTTACCTAAGAGATGCCATGTTGGGCCCATGGTTTTGTTTTTGACAGGGCTCTAAAGATATAACCGCATGTGCCAGTGGTCCATTCGGACAATACTGGGTGGCCTCTGGTTCTTGTAGTTGCAACTATGCACATCTTATGAGAGCTGCCCTTTGGCTGTGTCCGACCCAACCCTGGAATGAAGCAAAATGGGACCAATGATCAATAGAGACAAAGGTACATTATCTTAACAAGGAAAAGACTTTGCATTTTCAAAAAGTGAACACGCACCCATAGAATTTCAATAGTAGAGAAATGCATTAGAGATCAGGGTCATTGGACCCCAGATAGCTACAACCCAGTGGAGCTACAAGACGGATGTCCCAGAGCCTGTTGCAAGTGCCTCTTCCCCACCTGCTAGTGTGGGCAGATGAGGAAGGACCAGACACAGTGGATTGGTGTGTCTTGGGCCCAAAAGGGCTGAGGTAGCAGACCGGTGAGGGCATCCAGAGTGCCCAGCTCTCTGATTGAACACTATCCTGGAGCTTGCTGTGCGGTCCCTATGTACAAGTTATTAACAACTACAATCGGCCGACACGGTTTAAATAAAGATTTCTCTCAATAATGTGGGCAGGCATGTGGGGGTAGGAAGTTCTCCTCCACCCCCTTGGGATCTCTGGCCTGGGCCAAGAATTAAACAGGAACAAGGTAGATTCACAGGAAAAAAAGCATACAAGTTTGATTGGGTTTTTTTATGCACCTGGAAGCCTTCATGAGAGAAGGAAGATCCAAAGAAGTGACCAGAGCCAGAAGCGACTAGACCTTCCAGACAAGAATCGACACATTTGTAGAGAAATGACAAGACAAAGAGCAGTAAGTTGTGGGGAAGGACGAGGAGACACCTGTGGGGGCAGGAGGCAGAAGGAGTGGAAGATCGGGGTTATTTGGGAAGTGTGTTTGCACAGATGGCGGTTCGGTGTGGACTCGGGACTCTGGTGATCAGAATGTTCTCTTGCTGGCTCCTTTCTCAGGGGAGAGAACCCCTTTCTCGTGGGAAATGCTATGACCTAATTTCGGAAGGGGGTTGTCAGAGAGCCCTTTCTGCTTCCCTCCTCTGCTTCTCAAGTGCCCTCAGCTGAAAATAACCTGTATGCCCACCTGGTACATTCTGGGGGAGTGTGTCCTGAATCCCTCCAGCCTCACCGATCGGTTGGATGTCTTAAGAGCAAACCTGGGGTTTCTGGGGGAAGAAGGAAGTCTGCCTCAAGGCTGTGGCATGGGGTGTGGGTCTGTGTGTCTGTGTGGCTGAGGGGGCTTGAATCCTATTGGCTCTGTGTCTCTGGAGAATTCGGACTGATGCACAGACCATCTCAGAGACCTGCCCACCAACTCCCACTTTCGTGCATATCTTTCTCATGCCTGTTGCCCTTCTTTGCGGAAAAAGAAATCACGTGATTAGATTTCGCTACATTTTTAGTTTCATTTCAGTTTAGAATGAGAGCTTTCTAATTTGGTTTCAGGGTCAGTGTGCTTCTGGCTGGGCTTTTAGGGAAGCCGGTGCCCTCGAAGGACACAGGTTCTGGATAACAAGCAAATTTGTGTCACCTGCTGGACTATTCTTGGTCTCAAGACAGTGAGGGCTGCCGCGGTGGCCTGATGAATTACGCCTTCCAGCATGTTCCGAACAACGGAGGCCTGGACTCAGAGGAATCTTATCCATATCGTCCAGGGGTAAGTGGAGCTCCTCACATGTCATCAGTCTAGCTCTGCTCCCAGAGTCCCATGCTTTTGAAGAACACGGATACCGTATTTAATATTTGCATTTTAAATGGTGGACCCTAGAGCTGCAAACTCTCAGGACTGTCATTAACCCAGATGAACTGAGAACAGTTCTCTGCCTCGGTGGTGACCACATGACTATTTTTATTTCTATGTTACAGGGAGACATACATACCATTCTATACAGGGTACAGATTTCTCTGGAATGAACCAGTTCTTAAGGACACGTAGACCCTGAATAATTCATTGAACATGCAAGGTAGTTTTTCAATTTCAAAACAACCAATAGCATTTCAGCTTCTGGGATGCTTTACGACAAATTTGGCTTGGAAATCACTCACCTGTAAGCTGTCTTGAACTCACGCTCCCCAGGAGGTGGATGGTCATGATCAAGTCTCTTCCCCTTTCCCTCTGGAAGGACGGACCCTGCGCACACAGACCGGAGCGTCCTGCTGCCAACGCCAACGGCCGGTGAGCGTGCCTCGAAGGAGGAGTCCCTTGTGCTGGTGGTGGCAGCTGTGGGGCCCGTCTCTGCGGCTCTCCGTGCAAGCCTGGACACCTTCCGGTTCTATAAAGAGGGTAAGCATCTGTCTGTGGAGAAATATAGTACAAAAATCGGAATACCACCCTAAGATACAGCAGTAGTGACACCATGGTAGGCAGAATTCAATGTAGAATTTGGGGGGTGTGGATTTCACACAGTTCATCCTGCAGCCATAACGCTCATGCCTGCTGTTTCCGCCTGTCATGACCGGACCCAAATCCCCATGATTTTAAACACATTATCAATATATTGCAATGGCTACATAATTTGATTGGTATGGCTTGCTTTACTTTTTTCCAGTTGTTAGACCTTGAAAAATTTTAAAGAATGTTATTACTGAGATTAACACTGGAAAGGAGCCCTTAGCCCAAGTCATTTTGTGTTCCCTGCTGTTTCCGTAGGCTCACATCCTTTAAGGAGAATCATAAGAGGCATTTTTTTTTATGCCTCTTCACTATTGTTTTCAAAAGAGATTGTGACACTTTGTATTTCTGCTAACAACCCCTAGCTTACCTAAACAAAACTACCTGACTTTTAATCTTATCTGGATTTATAGCGCAACTAGAATTTTGATATGTCTCCCTTATTGTGGCTGATAGGCTGATCGGCTGCTACTACCCCATGTCACGTGGGAAACCTCAGCCCAACATTAGATTTTACTGTCCAGACATTTCTTATGCTCCGAACCGCAGAGTGAGGAGCTGAATCACGGCGTTCTGCTGTTTGTTTATGGACCTGAAGGAGAAGAATCCAAGAACCAAAACTATTGGATTGTCAAGAACAGGTATAAAAAGCCAAGAATACTTATCTTGGACATTGAAAAGGGAATCCTTTTTGGAATCGGTGCTTGGAGACAAGTCCCCCAACTCTCGAGCACACTTGTGAAATCCCAGAAGCGTTTACCCCGCGTGCGGGAACACAGGCATACTCATGGACGACCACAGGAAGGTACTATCTCAAGCTGGGGGGGGTCCTGTGATAGGTTTGCACCACTGCATTTCTAAACAAAATTCCTGAAACACATCTGTCCCGAAGATTTTCCTTTTCCTGCTCATGTTTCAGTTTTGTGAAGTCTGGGAAAGAAGGTTGGTTTGCTGGGTTAGAACTTAAGCAGGAACAAGAATGGCCTCTCCGGGTTCTTCCTGAATCTGTCCTGGCCTCTGGTGCCCTCCTCAGTGTCGGGTGTGATTGTTCTTGAAAGGAAATGTTTGTTCCTCTGGAATAATTGGCAAACCCTGGCTTCTTTTGACTGGGACACAGACTGGGGAACTCAGGGCTCCATGCTGATGGCCAAGGCCCGGGACAACCAGTGCGGAATCGCCACCATGGCCAGCTTTCCTGTTGTGTGAGACGAGGGTGTAAAGAAAACCTTGACTGGGGACAGAATATACAGAAAATGAGTTTTATTTTAAAGCTGGCCTCACCTTATTGTGTGGGATAAAACACTGAAGATCTAACTTACGGTTTGATTCTGTGACCTTTCACACTGGGGATGTCACTACTTTCTTAATCCCCGCTCTAATCAATGTTGTGTGATTCACTTGCTTTATAACTTTTGAATTTTCATGTTTTAAAAGATTGCAGGGGGACGCCTGGGTGGCTCAGTGGGTTAAGCTGCTGCCTTCGTCCCAGGTTACGATCCCAGGGTCCTGAGATCAAGTCCTGCATTGGGCTCCTTGCTCGGCAGGGAGCCTGCTTCTCTCTCCACCTCTGCCTGCCTCTCTGCCTGCTTGTGTGCTCTCTCTCTCTCCTTCTCTGTGACAAATAAATAAAACCTTAAAAAAAAAGAAAGATTGCAGGGTGTTTCATCTTCTAAAAGAAAATAATTTACCTGTGCTGAGGTGTGATTCTGGTTTTTTTTTTTTTAAGATTTTATTTATTTATTTGAGAGAGAGAGTATGAGTGGGCAGAGGGGGGACCGGGGGGCAGGTGGGGGCAGACGGAGAAGCAGACTCCCCACTGAGCAGGGAGTCTGACCCTGGGCTCACCCCAGGGCCCTGAGATCATGACCTGAGGTGAAGCCAGACTCCTAACCAACTTAGTCACCCATGGGCCCCCTTTCTGTTTTTAATTCATAAACTTCTTTATAGTCAAAAATGTCATGCTTTTGTAGGGGAGAAATTTCCTTATTTGCTCCAGAATTCTTCCAGCTGGCTTAAGAATTTAATTGACATGAAACAGATCAATGGGAGAAAAAAATCCTACAAAGTTTTATTACACAGGCATGGAGGCCCAGTAGGGAATTTGAGACCCAAGGAAATGACCAAGGCAGGCAGGTTTGTTGTTTTCTGGGCAGAGGCAGGTTTTA